GGAAAAGCACTTCGTGGGTTTGACTCAAAAAACGGGAATCGAAGCAGATCCAAGGCATCGGGGGCTGGGCCAAGGGTATCAACTCCACTCCAACAATCGGAGTTGGAGGGCCAAGCATCTCAAGTAAAGGTCGAAGCATGTTGAACATCAAAAGATCTGAAACCACCACCTAGCAGGCCAAGGGGTGTCAAAACTCACAGCCCCTTAGGTCCTTAGGTATTGCTTCAGCAATCCCCGCTTGGTCGAAGACGGTTCCGCGGGCGGCTGGTTCGAACCACGGTCTGACAGTTCGGGTCGTGAAAACACCGAACGCCTCCAGGTCTCCAAATCGGCGAGTTCAAAGCGGACGAAGCATTGGTGACGCAATGAGGATGCAAACACTCCATGTGGACCCCAGACACAACTGATGAGACTGGCATGGACTGGAATCCTACATTGGGGTGGTTGACCTAGGGTCGATGTAAGTATTCCAATCATGCCGGAATGTCTGCCTGTTCGAGAAAACCAGCCAAGTTCGGCAGAAATGATGAACTACTAGCAACAGCAACAAGCTACTAGGTGGAGGCCATCGCTATGGGGTTGGAGGCCATCGCTACGAACGTAACAAGAATTAAGCTACTAGTAACAAGGGCATTACTACTAGTAGCAAGGACGCTACCTCCTAACCGAAGGAAGAGGGTCGCTCTGGGACCCGCGGTTCGGGTAGCTCACGGGTACCCCGTCACTGTCACCCTTTTTGGAAGTCGAGTGGTCTGAGGAGATGTTTTTCACTCTAGTTGCAAGTCAGGGAGTTCCCAAAGGTGTTCATCTACCAGCACCTTGAAAGACATCTAATCCTAAAATTCAGATGCTTGAGATCATTATATCCTAATTATATCGTAATTGGACTATGTATGGACAAAACATGTTGCCCCCGTTTCAATCAGCGTTTTCTACTCGTGACCTCCTCGTTTTCACTCAGTTAGAGAAACACTCTCGCTGAGATGATGCGCTGAGCAAATCGCGGAGGCGGGGGTGTGGGACCACCGTCCAGCAAATCGCCGGCTTCTTTCCCGTGGAGCCTCGTATGGAACAATCCTCCAGGACCTTCACCCGTACGTGACCCGAACCGAGTCCGAGTCCCATCCGGTGACCGAACTTACCAGCTGCTTCCAAGGGGTTACCAATGGACCACCCTACACTGCTTATAGGTCACCAGACAGGACACCCTTTGGAAGTGACAGGTATAAGCATTTTTGTGACCGAACCAACCAGGGAATCAAGTGACCCGTCACTTGGAAGATCCAGGTTATTCCCAGACACGACCTAGCTGGGACTGGCGGACTACCGATCAGTTTTTGGGTGGTGCCAGTTCCAGTCCCATTAGTCGTGTCTGGGTATGGAACATCGTGATATCATGTTATATCAGCGGTTCCGTGTCGAAATGGTTTTTTATGGTTCTTAGTCCCATCCATGTGAGTGGATGTGATAAGGGCACCACCCTTATCCTCCGTTCGTTCGGCGCATGGGTCCGGATCAGTGCCTCTTCATGATGGCATTCGCTGCTTCTCGGCTCTCATGCGCGGCTTTCCTCAGCAAGTCCTCAAGGTTGTTCTTCTTGTCTTGCACGTTGCGCTGGCGGCACTCGGCTTTCGATCCTGCCGCTTACTTTGGGGGGGTCGGATTAAAAGGAGAAGAGATACACACACAAACATACAGATCTCCCTTCCCTTTCAAGGCTTTCTATTCCCGGTGCCCAATGGAGACTGTAAAGAAAGTAGTTCAGGGGTGTCTACCAGCATCCTCACTGCGTCACCAATGCTAGCTGTTTGTCAGGGCCCGTGACCCGACAGCGGAGACGGAGTGAGGATGCTGGTGACCCACCGTGACCCTAAAAGTCCAGTGAAGACCATTTTCGGCACCACCCAAGTCTTCAGGAAGTTCCTTTCTAGTAAGGGGGTGGGGAATGGGGAACTCCTTGTAGCTCCTCGGCTCCCTGTTGAATGGGGAATATGGATGCCCCTGGCTCCGAATCGCCCTCCTGAGCTTACTAGCTAGCTTTTCACTCGGATCACCGACCGTTTTCCACAGACCGGTCGAAAACGGTCGAAAACGGTGTTCCGTGACGGTCAGACCTGGGTCGGAACCAACGGCACGAACAGGGGTGTTCCGGTGTGACCTGGAACCCGCGCGGCCACGGCACTCCTCCTCGCTCGGCGACAAACTGGCACATGGCGTTGACCGAGGAGAGAGACTTGTTCCGGGTTCCTTTTGTGGAGTCTGAGCCGAAAAAGAGACAGAGAGGGATATACCCTTGAAGGTGTCAGGTTCCCGAACTCAGTTCCCTAGTCAGACAGAGGGAGATACCCTAGAAGTCCAGTTCGACTCGATTTTGACCGGCTGAAGGTGTCAAGGAACGTTCCCGAACTCAGTTCCCTAGT